ACAGAAACAATCTCAACAGAGGCCTAGTACGGTTTCTGGATCCCCCACAATCTCTCTGTGCACCAATTTGAAAGTGTCAATGAACAGGTCCATCCATTCCTGCCGCTCGGGTCCCGTGGCAAACTTGGCTTTTTCGGCCGTGTAGGCCAAGATGGCCACCAGCTTGGTGTACGCGCTGGGGTCCTGGGCCACCTTCGTGAAGTTCAGGTACTGGGCGATCATGGGTTTGCTGGTGGGGAAAGTTATCTTGATTCCCTCTTCCATTGGGCGGGAAGTAACTGGGTTTTCGATCCCAGGGTTCCTCCCACCTGCAAGTGAGTGCCAAAAGAATATTTTCAGGGCTTTCTAGAATGCCACGGACCTCTGATTTCTACTCACCATTATTTTGCTAGTTGATTTAAAAAGTATAGGACCTCAGATGAAGTCAAGGCAGGCATATCCAGGGCCGGACCTGGTAGGTTATGGTCAGTCTAGCGCTAGAGGTGTGCAGTCGGATACTGCCTGCTCGATAAAAGGCCCAGTATTTCGGGGTTCTGACTGGCATTATCCGATACTGTGAAAGGCACTCCTGATATTTCCCGATTCCGGTATTTGCACTCCCAATAAATTTCAGAAATATCCAGAATCAGGTCAGGAGGCCTTTCTGCTGTTCTACCTTCCATTATTTTCACCACAGGGCAGCTGGTCCACAACGCACTGGCCTTTTCCACTGCAAAGAGTTGTTATTTTCAATGGGTGGTGGCCTAGCTGTACAGCCCACTGACAATAAAGACTCTGGTCAGCAGGTCTACCACCCACTGAAACAGTGGCCCTTTGAAACTGAAAGGACTGATGTACCACAGACCAGGTGAGGAGTATTTCCTCTTCCACCCAGCTCTTGCTGCCTGCAAGCACTTCAAAAATTATATTTTAATTTTGGAAAGGGTGTTATTTATTGTTTTCACTCAACTGGGGTAGTCCTGGTATTTCCCCCCAATATTAATTCAGACGGGGGGGGGGGGAATCCCCAATATGACTGTCCAGTACAATATCAATATGCCTAATATTTTACAAACATGATAATCATACCCTTTCCGATACAAAATCGGTACAGTAATTTTTGGAGAGCACGCCCCTGCCTGGCTTTTCAGACAAAGGCATGCCCTCCTCAGAAAAAGCCTACTGGCTTTTCAGACAAAGGCATGCCCTCCTCAGAAAAAACTAAGGCCCCTGTCAGACTAGTAGTGGCTGATGATCAATCTTGTGCAACTGATCCTACCAGCCTGATTTGTAGTATCCCAGGATATATTCCAATTAATAGTATTCTACAGTACTCGGATCCCCAACATTTCGACACAACCACAAAATGGCTGCCACAGGAGGCACAGCTAATGACAAAATGGCTGCCATAAGCTGTAGCGCCAACCACAAAATGACAGGGAATGGGATCTTGCATAACTGTAAACCCCACTTGGCCCTGCCCACTTTTTAAAAACACTTGGAGGTAGGGTTACTAGCTCCAGACTGGGAGATACCTGATCTTTGCATACTTAAATCCAGCGACTGGAACTGTGAATGGGCAAAACAGACCTTTCCACAGGCCCCGGGTTTGCGGAACAATGTGAAATATTAAAAAAAATACATTGGGGAGTTTAAAACATCTGAAAATGATAAAAGGAATGCCTGTAGGTGTTGTTGTTTTTTTAACGGATTCCCTCAGTGGCTGTCGCTAAACAACCACAGGATTCCAGGCTGGGTTTATGTGAGTAAAAAGACAAGGAGAGAGGGCAGGGCCCTTTCCAGGCCTGTTTTGGCCTTTGAGGGAAGATTCATAGGAGCCAGGCCTGATTCAGGTTGCCAGGTCCAGGTTGGGAAATTCCTGGAGATTTTCTGGTGAAGTCTGAAGACTGCAGGGTTTGGGGAATGGAGAGATCTCAGCAAGAATTTCCCATCCTGGAGCTGGCAACCCCAAAGAGGAACTACCGTAATCTCTGCAGTTGGGAAATCTGGAGATCCATTGTGATTCCTGGAGAGCTGCTGCCACTGCTGCTGGGGGAGGGCAGAGAAAGCAGGTGGGTGGCTGAGAACAGTTCTGCCACCACTGCTGCTGAGGGGGGGTGGAAGGCTTGGAGAGTGATGGGGACAGAAAGAGAGAGTAATGGGGTGGGAGGCAAAAAGAGAGAAAGAGTGATGAGGTGGGGAGGTAGAAAAAGAAAGTGTTGGGGTGTGGGGCAGAAAGAGAGAAAGTGACAGTCGTGGAGGAGAGAGAGAGTAAGAAAAGGAGTGGCAGGAGGGGGAAAGAGTGTGAGAGAAGCAGGGGAAAGTGGGAGGAAGCAAAGGGGGGAAACAGGACAGCTGCTCTCGCACGTTTCCTGCGGGTCCCCAGTTGTATATAAGAATTTCGAATGTTGCTTTCTACATTCTGCTTTCCTGTCATACACCCCCAGATCAATTCTCCATTATAGCCTATGGGAACCATTGACTATAATGGTCCCCATAGGGTATAATGGAGCTGGGAAAAAATTGGCAATGCTGAATATTTACCGAATCCTAATACCATACGGTGGAAAGAAATTTTAGAAAAATAGAAAGTTTGGGTTTAAAATGGAACCTAATATTTTATGAAATCCATGTGTCTGTCTCTGTGTTTGCTAGAACAACAGCAAGGAGGCCTGGTCTGTTTCAGGCCCTTTGTTTTAGACAAATCTCCATATCAGTCACCCAGAAAATAATTCACCACATTCCATTCCCAGGATTTGAACCAATATAAGTCTCTATAAGTGTGAGACCCGCAATTTTAAAGGTGATAAAATTGCAGCTGGTCAGGAAAGCCATTTGGGCAATGACAGACCCTAATCCAAAATGCAAACTCACGAGCAACAGGATTTCACATACCCCACTTCCCCCTTAGAAGATAACTTTGAAGTTAGCTCTCCGATAGCTTCAGTGTAGCCCCAATAGTGGGAACATCAGGAAAACAATAGCACCTCCTAGTAAATAAGATTGTGTGAACTTTTGTTGCTAAATAATTTTAACTTCTAGGAAGCAATTTACAGTTAAACAATTACAACTTCTAAATGTTAATTTACAACTGTGATATGATTATCAAGGAACTCCTTTGATCATTTGGTATAAATACTGGTGAAATCCAACAGGTTTTCGTTGGCTTCTGAAGGATCAGGAGAGGTTTAGCCTCCTGAGAATTTGGAGTCAACCCGAAAGGGCCCTTTCGCTTCTTGCATGCTTTGGGGTGGGATACTTTGCTGGCATGTTCATTTTTCTGTGTGTGTTTACTATCTATAGTTGTTGAAATAGAAGTGTGCTGTGTTGGCAAGCTGACACAGCGTCTTGTTGGTCACCTTGCCAGGTAAACTTTGAATACTGAGCTTTTAATAAAAAGATAAAGAAGAGACCCTTTGCTTGGGGTGTCTTAGCCAGCGCTCAGCGTTTTCCAAACTTGCACCTTTCGCCTTTGGTGAGGAGGCAACACTCAAGAGGACATGAACCGGGGGGTGGGGGTGGGGACACATTTTTCTTACAACGCATACCAATATTGGGATTTGGGAATATCGGGAAATATCAATATTTTTGGTGTTCAATATACTGGTTTTTTGTGTGTGCACACCCCTAACACTAACCGTAGAGGGAGAAACAGACAGAGAAGTCCCATTCATTACACATAAGCACCAAAAAGGAAGTGAATGCTTTTACGATTATCATTATTATCATGTGAACACATGAAGCGATCTACTCAGACTGGCAGCGGCTCTCCAGAGCCTCAAGTGGAGGTCTTTCACATCATCTACTGATACTTTCAGCTGAAGATGCTGAGGTTTGAATCTGGGACCTTCTACATGGCAAGCAGAAGCTCCACCACTGAGCCACGGCCCACCCCAAGAGGCACTTACAATGACTAGGTAAGATATTCCTGACAATCACACCCCATGAAAACTGATGTCCCTTCTGTGTCTTTCAAACACTGAGTGGTCCAGTCCATTCTTGTCCTTTCTATGTGAAGGAGCAAAGGAGGAAATATTCTCTCCCCCCCTTGGGGGAATGGCAGTTTAGGGAGCAAGAGGAGCCCCATTCACTGGATTAATCGGGGGACTGACAACAACACTGCCCCAAGCAGAGTTACAACCTTCTAGGGGCCCTGAAGTCAATGGCCTTAGAAGGGTGCAACTCTGCTTAGGACCACATTATGCATGGCTGGCGGAGGTTTTCAATGCAGTTTTGCTCTGCTGAATTCCCACTCACTAGCTTCACTTTGAATTTTGCACCTGAACAAATACACAAGTCAAAGCAAAACTGCTCTGAAGCTGGTGATCTGATGGAAGGAAACCTGCACAGCATCTCCATTGAATTTCAGCCTTCTCCACCAATCCGTTCAGGTTTCCTTCTTACCCGTTCCAGCTTTCGACTCATCATGGTTAGCTAATGAAAGCAAAAACAGTACCAACTTCCACTGCAACACTGCAAGCCATGCAGGTGGAGCAAGTTGTTTAATGCCCACTAGTGTTTGGACAAAGTACTTCTTCAGCCCCCCGCACTGCCATAATGGGCCACCAGCTAGCAAACCCTCAACATTCTGCCACTTCAGCTAGCAAACCCTCAACATCCCGAGCACTTCCTCGCTTTCAAAAAAGGAAACAAAACACCCGGCGAGGCCCGGGCCCGCCAATCCTTCTCCCCCCCAATCCCCCCGGCACTGACGGTGAGGCCTGTGTGGCTCCTGCGGGCCCACCAATCCTTCTCCCCGTCCCCCGCACTGGTGGCAAGGCCCATGTGGCTCCCACTGGACCTGCCAATCCTTCTCATCTACACCGGCAGCGAGTTGCGCAGGTCTGGTGAGACTTCTCCCATTCCAGTGGCTCCCAACTGCCGGGCCCGCCGAGCCTCCCCCACAATGGCCAGAGTGTACCAACTGAAAAGGGCTAGTTTGCCTTCCCTGGGACCCTTTCCACATTGTACAACAAAGACTGTGGTGAACGCAGGACTGGTCATCCCCATATTTTTTTTACCTGTCTGGCAGGGCAATTCGGGACAGACAATCTGAGGATCTGAAATGAGAATGGAAACATCAGGCGGGGTTGTGAGGAGAAAATTTCTCTGTAAAAGGTGCAAACAGAACAGAACATCATTTCCTGAGCCTGTAGCGCCTCCCTCTCCTCCCCCCTGTACCCACACAATCTTATCCCATACACATAATCTCATAAATCGTGAAAGAAACACTGCTATTCTGTAGCTGAAATGATGTTAAAATAGAACGCGTCACAGTAATGGGCTTCCAGAACCACACAGACCCCATCCCCCGAAAGTGTACCCCTTTCCCTCCCTATTCTGTCCCTGGGGCTTGATGCAGATCTTTTCCAAACTAGAAGAAGAAGAAGAAGAGAAGAGATTGGATTTATACCCCACCCTTCACTACCCAAAGGAGTCTCAGAGCGGCTTACAAACTCCTTTCCCTTCCCCTCCCCACAACAGACACCCCGTGAGGTAGGTGGGGCTGAGAGAGCTCTGACAGAAACTGCTCTTTTTCGAGAACAGCTGTGCCAGAACTACGGCTTGCCCAAGGTCATCCAGCCAGGTGCAAGTGGAGGAGTGGGGAATCAAACCCGGTTCTTGCAGATTAGAGTCCGCGCACTTAACCACTACACCAAACTAGACCTGAGGCAGGGGAAATGGTTTTCTTGTTTTTTAAAAAAACCTTCATGCAGCCACAGCAGTGTCAGCTGGGGGTGGTGGTGGGCTCTTTACTTGATTGGAGCCGCTGTGGGAAAGAGGACCTTTACCTGCGGATTGTTCCCTGAGCAATATCAACCCCCCCCCCCAGCTGCGTGTAGGAGCTACGTGGAACATGTATTATTCTCTCCTCCTGATCGTAAAGCCAGAAGCAGACGAATGACAGAGACTTCAAGACTACAGCCAGAAGGGCCCCCTCCACACCAAAAAGGACTCTATGGACAGTATGGCCACCATCCAGAATGTGTTTCCCACCCACATTCCAGTGGAACCCTCCTGTGCTGGCCTCCGCAGAGGCAGCCGTGACAGACCTGGGCAGAGCTCGTGCTCCATGCTGTCGACGAACTCTTCGGCCACCAGCTCCGTGAACAGCTTCATCTTCTGGACCCTGCCGGCGTTGTCGCAGGCGATGGACGTCAGGGTCTCGTCCTCCTGGGCCTTGTGGAACATGTCCCCGATCCCGATCGCGGTGACGGTGACGTCCCCGCCACAGAGGGCCTGCAAGTGGGAGTCGTTGTCTCGGGGGTCGTGGCGCCCGTCGGTCACCACCACGGCAAAGACCCGGGCTTTCTCCCGCCGGCTTTCTTTGATGAGCTTGTTGTAGGCGAACTGGAGGGCGGAGAGCGTCCAGGTGCCCCCCGCGATCCACTCGAGCCTCTTCACCGCCTCCTTGAAGCTGGAGAGGGAGTCGATGCGCTCGTCGTTGAGCTGGATGGCTTCGAAGGTGCCCTCGTGGCTGTACTGCACCACCCCGACCCGGGCCCCTGTCAAGGACATAAACCACACCGTCCTGGGGGGAAAAACAGCTTTCCGGCTTCCCCTCCAGGCATTCAGTGTCACACCGCCCTGTAGGCAACCTGTCGGAATCCACACTCACAACCCGGTTCATGCCAGGGACCAGTCATGCCATTCAAAAAGGTGCCCGGGACACGGACTATGGATGGTTCTCTGGCTACCCCAGCATCTCACGCACATCAAGAGAGAGCGGCATGCAATAGCGTCCACGTGCATTTCAGGCTCAAAGGCACCTTTCTGCACAGACACATGAGGGTGGCAACTGTTACACACAGAGCCATGGTTAGGTGGCATGGAGAGAAGGTGGCATGGTGGCAGAGAAGAAGAAGAAGAAGAGAAGATAATTGGATTTATACCCCACCCTTCACTACCCGAAGGAGTCTCAGAGCGGTTTACAATCTACTTTCCCATCCCCTCCCCACAACAGACACCCTGTGAGCAGTGTTCCCTCTAAGCTGAGTCAGTGTGAGCTAGCTCACAGTTTTTTAGCTTCCGGCTCACACATTTTTGTCTTAGCTCAGGAAGGATGGCTCCAGAGCAAACTAATTGATGCAGCAGCCAAATTGCTCGCTCACAGCTTTAATATCAGTACCTCACCAAGTAGAATTTCTGCTCACAAGACTCCACAGCTTAGAGGGAACATTGCCTGTGAAGTAGGTGGGGTGGAGAGAGCTCCCTCGAGAACTGCCCTTGAGAGAACAGCTCTGAGAGAACTTGTGACTGACCCAAGGTCACACCAGCAGCTGCATGTAGAGGAGTGAGGAATCAAACCCGGTTCTCCCAGACTAAAGTCCGCGCTCCTAACCACTACACCACACTGGCTCTTCCCAGAGGCCAGGTGGGAAGGCTGCCTTCAGGCAGAGGCAGGGAGTCCTTTCTGTCCTCCATGCTGACACTTGGAGCAGACAAGGAACAAGGAGAGACACTCCAAAGATAAATTTTCCCAAATGTCGTTGCACGTTACAGAGGACTGCACTGATCCCCCATGCTCTTTGCATATGCTCAGAGGGCTCGGGAGAAGATGTGGGTTCTTCTGTTACATACAGTGAGGTTTGGAAAAGATAACAAACAGCAAGAGCATTTCCCTCTGTTTCTCCCCACCCCCCCTACACCGGGTCAAATGAGAGAACTTCCTGCTTCTCCCCCACAAACCAGAGATCTTGGGGAAGGGGAGGAGCTGGGGGTGAGCACAAACCAAGGCTAGCTAGGAGGCCAAGCTGTTTGTGGACTTTTGACTTTGGGAGGCATTTAAATAAGTCGGGAGGCACTGTGTCAGGAACGACAAGAGAGTAAAACTTTTAAAAAGCGAAGAGAAAGAGCTGGAGGAGGGAGCAGATGTGCCCTGTGGCATGCCTCGCCTGCAGCCAGCTAGAGGCACATTGCAGGCAGGCAGGGCAACAGTTTGGTTTGGCGTTAGGGTTGCCAACCCCCCCGGTTTGCCAGGGGTCCCTCATTTTTTGGGGGGGTTCTACTCCAACACCCACAGCCACCCATCTTTATCCCTTTAAGTGTGTGGAACCCGTGTTTCCTCCCACGCCTGATCTCTTCAAGCTTGCAGGGAAATGCCAGCTTCGTGCTCTTAAAAGGGAAACACAGCTGCTCTTAAAGGGGAAACGCCGGCTCCTGCATTTAAAAGGGAAACGCCGGCTCCTTTAAGTGCAGGGAACTGCTGTTTCTGGAGATCTGGTGCATGGGCAGGGTGTGTGTGTGGCGGACGTCCCCAACGTGATATCATCATGTTGGGGATCCCCCACCCCCTCCAGGAACGCCCCCAAAGTCCCCCGCTGGGGGTGGAAGATGGACTTGGCAACCCTATTTGGCGTGGGTGTGGCGTGCAAGAAAAATAAATTAAACTGGCTGGATGGGAAATCGGGAGGAGGCCTGGGTAGTAAGTCGGGCCATGAATATCTTGAGAGTTTCAGAGAAGCTGAGAAACATCCTAAAACCCACATCAGAACACATGGCCCAGTGCAAAGGCAAACAGCCTGCACACCTGGAAACTCAGAGGTTTCCCTTCACAAGGGATTTTTTAAAAAGACAGTGGTAAAGGCTCCAAGATGGTGTGTTGGGACACATATTTCTCACAACACCCATATGTCAGTTCCTGTTGTCTAGCGGCGCAATCCAACTCCAAGTCACACCACTGACCTGTCTCCGATTTGGGATCTTTGGCGATGGAGCCGAGTCTGCTCACGACGTTGATGACAAAGTTCTTCTCCAGGGAGAAGTTGGTGTAGCCGATGCTCTCTGAACTGTCTATGATGAAGACGATGTCCAAGGGGCCACAGACCTTCTCGCAGTCTATGGAGGGGAGAGATCCAGTTGTCAGAGGCCAGAAAGTCAGAAGGACAAAGAGACAGGAGAGATCACGTCATCCTTCTTTACAGACTGGGAGAGATACCTTGCTTCAGTTACTTGTGCAGGCCCATAGCCACCGGGTGGGGGAGGGGGGCTGACAAGGGCAATGCCCCCAAATATTCCCAGCCCTCTCAGAGCCATCAGGAGGGGAGGGAGGGGGCGGCCTCGCCGGCTCTTCCTGCTTCTGCAGCTGGCTTCTCAAAGTTGTCCTCTTAATAAACATTTTTTAAAAATGGGGGGGGGGAGTTGCCACTCCACCTCCCCTCTGATGGGAACCTGAGCCTTGGGGGGGGGCCTTGAGCTCAAGCCCTCCCCATGATTCAGGCTGCCATTGGAGTGCTCCAGAGTGGACTGCCATGCGGATGGAGCTCCCGGTGGCGAGGGTACGCTCACCCCCCAGCCCCACCAGCAGATTCAATTCCCCCCCCGAACAAAACATTTCTGGCTATGGGGCCGTTGTACCCGCTGAAAGCCAGCAGAACAGAGATGCCCTGATATGGTCAGGGAAATGGTGGTGCTAAGCCTGGCTTATCTACTATCCAAAAAGCCCTCCCTAGGCCAGGTTATCATAGACCCCAGGGGCGGATTAACCATTAAACAGACTAAGCACGTGCTTAGGGCACCAGGGCCAAAGGGGGCACCACAAAGTTGGGAGAAGGGTGAAAAGAACTTTATGTAGCTCAAGGTTGGCTTAGTTTTTACAGTATATTGCGTTATCATATGAATAAATTTTTGTATTGCTGCAACCTGCATTGTATATCTGGTCAGATAGGTCAACAACTAACATGGACTGGGTCAGTGTGGAAAGGAGGGGGGGGCACCAAGATTGGTCAGTGCTTAGGGCACCAGGGAGCCTCAATCCGCCCCTGGCAGACCCCTGTATCTCCCCAATGGTCTGGCAGATTTCCCCCCACCAAAACTTCAGTTCCCCATAGTGTCTGAGTCACGTTACAGTAGCACTGATATCTTCTTTTTCTTTCCCTTTTATATAAACTTGAAACTGTCCCACCCTTTGTTTAGATACTGGTATAGGCTTTAGACCCAGTACGGGAACTTGAGGGAAAGACAGAAGATGTCCTGCTTTATAAACCCTTGTGAAATGGCACTTGAGGCAAACTAACTTTCGAAACCAGAAGATGTTCATAAACAGGCAGGGAAAGATTTTATTAAACAGGCAGGTCTACTCGGAATCCTGCTCTGATATATCAAATGGAGCTTACTCCCAGGAAAGTGTTCTTAGAATTGCACTGTGAGGGTGAGATTAGACCAGGAAACTCAAGACCAGCATCCCCCTCCCATGGCCCTTTTCTGCTACCGAATGTCAGGTAGCCCTGTCATAGGTCTGGAATGTTGAGGGGTGCCTTCCCGTTCTCTGTCTCAGCTCTCCCTGGCGAATGTTGAGGGGTGCCTTCCCGTTCTCTGTCTCAGCTCTCCCTGGCTCACCAACTGTTTGCTATCTTATGCTTGACTTTGTAGATGTTCCAGCTGCAGTTTTACTCAGCTGGGAAAGTTAACGACTTTTGTGTTGCCTGCTTGCTTTGCCCGTGCACGCAAGATGTATCGTGGGCACACCATGAAATTGCTGAGCGGTCGGGTTAGAACGGATAAAAGGAAGTACTTCTTCACCCAAAGAGTGATTAACACATGGAATTCACTGCCACAGGAAATGGTGGCGGCTACAAGCATGGACGGCTTCAAAAAGGAATTAGATAAGCATATGGAGCAGAGGTCCATCAGTGGGTATTAGCCACAAGGTATAGATAGGGACTCTGGGGCAAGTGATGCTCTGCCTTCTTGGTGCTTGGGGGGGCCAACAGTGGGAGGGCTTCTAATGTCCTGGCCCCACTGGTGGACCTCCTGATGGCACCTGGTATTTTGGGCCACTGTGTGACAGAGTGTTGGACTGGATGGGCCATTGGCCTGATCCAACATTGGCGTCTCTTATGTTCTTACGTTATCCATTGGCTCATGCTTACCGGGGGGATGTTTGATTCTAGTGTAAGTCAGAGGCCCTAGTATTGGTGGCCATTCCTGACACAAGCTGTACGTGTGTCTCTAGTTCTGGATTTACCAATAAACAGCTAGCTTCGCATGAAGCCCTGTGTTGAGTAACCCGTCTTCTTTGATGCTGTCCCTTGACGAGTTAACATCCAGCTGCACCTCTCTATGCCACAGAGTGGTTTACGAAAACTGACCGCATGACAACAACCAACCGGTTGCGCGGCTTCAGCCGAAGGGCAGAAACATCACAAAAGCGAGTGAGGTCTCGAAAGCACAAAAGAGAAACTAACCGCAACAGCCACAGGTCTCTCGGATGTAGGTCATCACATCGCAATCCTGTCAACAAAAGACAGAAAGGGAAGAGTCGTTTTGAGGGCCAAGGGTGGCAGCAATTTGGGTTTGATTGAGCCTGAGCCTTTTTCTTTCTCTGTATTATGTAGGTTTTGCTCTAGCCGACTTCTGTTTCTTGGTTCTGTCTTTACACTGCCCAGGGCTTGGAGAGGTCTTGGTGAGTAGACAAGGAACGTTCCCTTTTGGGGGTTTCCCCCCAGTGCACTATAATAAGTGTTGGGTCCATTCGTTTTCTGTACTTTTTAATGAAGTTCAATAAATAGTATGTTAGTGTAAAGCCAACTGGACTGTTTCTCTCTGGGATGAATTCAGTCTCTGGGCTAGTCTCATACTGACCCTTTGGACCCTGGTGGTCTCGGTAGTGGTTCCCAGAATCCTGCAACACCAAGTCTCACCTGGTACGCTGTGCATGGCATTGGGATACCTACCAGCAAGACCTACAGCCCTACTGGGGTAGCTGTGCGTCCAAAGACTTAGAACTGGAATGGACCTCCAGGGCCATCTAGTCCAACCTCCTGCACAATGCAGGAAATTCACAAAATTCACAAAAACCTCCGCCCCCCCCCAAGACTAACGTGGCACCTCAAAGACTAACGCGTAGGTCTTCACGGTGCCACGAGGCCCTTCGTGTTTTCATTTCTCCGCCTTCACGATTTCTACCATAAATGAAATCCAATGCGCCAAAAGAAAGCACACGAACAAGAGAATATGTCTCAAGCCATAATAATAATAATAATAATAA